GCGAATTCCTATTCAAATAAAAGGAAACGTATATCGGGTCAGGGTGACCCGAACGTAAATGGTGTACCTAAAATGAGAACAGAATAGGAAGGTTAAAAAGTAACTTCTACTTGTAACTAGTTACTTTTGGTGAGAAGTAATTCTACTGGTAACTAATTACTTTTTGGATGACATACTTGTAATTGTAACTAGTTACTTTTCAAAAGTAACGCGCCCAACACTGTTGATGCCCTAAGTATGAGACCACGTTTTCAATTTAAGCAAGTAAGGTCTTTTTCTTCTGAAATTAGTTCCTCTTATTTTCCTCGCCTTGTATATCTTTTGCAACTTGCTTTTAGATGGTTTGCAATTCATTTTCGGCATTTGGTGAATGAAAAATGCCCTTGGAAATATGTGTGAAAAGTGGTAGCAGTTTCGGCAAATCAGAATCGGCTTTCATCCGTGAGAACTATATCTCATTCGGAGACATATTGTTTCGGCAATGAAAAGTCATTTTCGGCGTTTTCTGTGGAAGCAAAACTGTTAATTATATACGGCGACTAGAATCTCGAGATCGTCCGCTGTGTTTGAAGTTCGTCAGCAAGCAAGTTTCCTTCAAAATCCTACTAATGGAAGACAATAATCATGTCGAAGCAATTGGGAATGAAAGTAGCAATCATTATGAAGATGCTTTTAAGTATGTCGATTAGAATCCTCTGGCAAGAGATTCGTATTTCATTTTCGGCATTCCTTAGTTGAAGAATGTCTGCAGAAGTATCGGTGAAAAGTGACCGCATTTCCGGCAAAACGATATTTGTTATCGTTTACGAAAGATAGGTTGTATTAGGAGACTCGCGGTTTCGGCAGTGAAATGTCATTTTAGGCGTTCCGAAGGGGACATTCTTCCATTACTGTCCTGCGTGAAACTGAATGTGGAATACAGCGAATGGAATCTCAAGATCCGAAGTGGAATCTGGAATACATTGTCCCGTGACACTTTCCGGTTAAAATTCGCTATCGACGAGCAGATGTGAAATTGAAATGATTGCGAGTGAATATTCACAGAATGTTCCTCGGTAGAGCGGACCACAAATGCAAATTTGAGACATTTCCGGGGAGATTGTTATGGGACGTTCTTACGAGTGGAATGGGAATCCGGTCAGAAGGGCTGCGGGATAGGCAGAAGTTCCACCCGCATTTCAGTGAAAAGCGGAGAAACTTCTCCCTAATTTGGAAAGATGTCACTCCGACTTTAAACCCGTTATTACCCCTTCCTAGTGCGAGAGCAACTCTTAACACGTTTGCGAGTCGAAATATGTTAGCGATTTCACAGGTGCTTCACATTTGATGCTCGATCTGGCTGAAAAGTAGGCCCGAGTGCCGAATATCGTCATTTGTGCCGAAACCCAATTTCCTCGATGAATTTCAATCGCCGATTGTCCGTTTTGTGCCTTCCAAAAGACGAAAAATGGGGAGAGATGATGAAATCCGATTTAAGGTGACGAGAATATCCGCGGATGGGCAAAGCCTGCCGAGCATCATTATCTGTGTGCGGAAAATTCATACTAAACGGCGATATCAAAATTCGCAGCGTTTTTCACTTCCAGTGAGAAACAAAGGGGAAAATGTACCAAAATGAATTGCAATCCTCATTAAGGGGGATTGCAGAAGGTTTAAAGCTCCTTGATTTCTGAATACATCGCTGACAACGGTTGGCCTATTAATCATGCAGAGTGTAAGATTTCTGAAGATTTGCAGCGAGTTCCTGTCATTTCGCCTGTTTCTCATTGTGGTAGTGTTCCGACTGAAAAGCTCCCATTGGTGGCTTCCCCGAATGTTGGTAAACTCAATTTCCAGCTCGAATTTTCTTGTCGCCGCTCTTCAGTTTCTTCTCTTCCACAAACGAATTATGAGG